TTAATGTGTGGATAGATGTGTAACGGTGTAGGGTAAGCCTATCATTGTCCTTGAATATTTAAATAAATACTAAATTTAAAAAATTATACTTAAAATTTTTTTAATTAAATACTAAATATAACTCATAACTAATTTGTATTTAAAAATATTCACCCAACAAATATGTACGTTTGATATTTGTCCATTTTTGGTTTTGGTGTAATCTAATCAGCAGCAGGAAAGGAATAACCAATTAGGCATATGCATGCTCCCAACATGATAACATAACCCAGCAAGCCCAGACATCATTACATTACTACATGTGGAGTATTCATTTGGATGAAAGTGAGATGCCAGATGCTTAGGAAATTAGGAGTGCTCTCTGAATAGATTTTTCCTTTTCTAAAAGAAAGAGAGAGTAAAGTAAGGGTTAATTAATTAAATCAATGCAACATGATTTGAACAATTAGGTCTTAATTATAGAGGTACCCTTAATTACCTTTCCGTCAAAGAAAGTGGAGATTCAGTGAGATTTTATCCCAAAATCAACGGATAAATGTAATAAAATAGTGATATATAAATAAATTTTTTATAGAGTGGTGCTATATGAATAATTCTTTTATACAAAAAGATGAGACAAAAAAGTTATATAAAAAATATTTTTTTTATATAACTTTTATATATATTTTTTTTCGATTTCCTGTCCGGTATCCGGGGTTTCGCCCCGACTAATCCGGACTCGACCCGTGTCGCGCACCTGGAAATGGTGGGTGAGTTTCCCAACGAGTGCTGCTGCGTTCACAAGTTTTCGAACTCGAGATCTTGCTTAAACTGGAACAAGCCGCTTACCACTTGATCCAATCCCTCGTTGGTATAACTTTGATATATTATTGAAAGGATAAATACATTTAATATTATAAATTTTAAATAAATAAAAAATAAATTATTTAAATGACATATAAAATTATACAAAAATATTATTTCCAAATCACTTTCATATCTAATAAGCTTGAAAACATGACATATTTCCAATATATTACAAGGTTGATGAAGTCATGGCCTGGTTTTTGGTTGTTCCATTTTTCCTAGTTGGACGGTTCCTGCTCGGCACAGCTGCTAACCAACGCGATTCTCATGGTCCACTCAGATTTTTCTGATCTCTACTCACCCACTGTTTCCTGATCTTTTTTTCTTAAGGAGAGAGAGAGATTTAAGATCTTGAACCTTGATAAATAAAAATATGTTTTTTTGGACCAATTATTATGTTATGTTGTTCCTTTTGGAGCTCATTTACAAAACTTTATAGTATATTTGGATCAGGAAGAACGGAGAAAAAAAGAGAAAAAAATTTAATTAATTAAATTATAATGTTTTACGGTTAATGTACTTTACAAATTATGACATTTTTTTTTTATACTTTTTTATTGTCAGTATATTTCTTTTGGTTGGAAAGTATGATTATGATCATCTTAATAGGACTTTCTCAGGCACCAGAAAATCTTAATGAGGTTCATTAAAAAAAAAAAATCATTAAAAAATGTCTTAATAAGGGGGGTTGAACCTTTACTAGGCCCAAGAAAGCGGTCTAAGTCCAAGCTTATTAAGTTGTTAGTTTTTGGGCCTTTTATTAAACTGTTAGTTGGGCTCGTAAAATCCCACAGTTTTGGGTGAAAATATCAGTCCACTTTGGTCCATTCACGTGACAACATCAATATTCCTCGAGTTGGGACCAGATGATATTTACTTGGCACCATGGCTGCCTAACTTAAAGGGTTTTTATGACCGTATTTTTGTAATTAATATATTTATTTATAATTAATTTAT